TTTGACCTTTGCACAAAAAAAGGATGTTTGTGTTAAACTCTCTAGTAAGCCCAAACCTTCTCAGGGAGAGCTTGCCGGACGAAGAAATTGTCAGTTCTGTTCAATCGATGTCTAAAGATACAGAGAGTGATGGCGAGGAAGAGATAGAGACTGTTTCCATAAAGGACGCGTTAGAAAGCTTGGATAATGTGTTCAATTTTCTCGTTCATCCACCCGCAGGTTTTAATTGCGATGCAAGTACTGTATCAACGGTACGCTCTTTACGAAAACAAGTGCTAATGCACCACATCAATAATAAGAAACAGTTACCGTATTTCTCGGACTAAAGTACCCCCCTTGCACCCACCATTTTGAAGCTCATGGAATGTAAAAGACCGTGGTACTATGATCGGTTTGTTACACAAAATACTTATAAAGTACCATGGTACAGCGTTTTTATTATTATATTACCATATATTCCTAAAACCATCCGTTTCTTCATAATAATCACCTTCAATATCTACGAAAATATCACTCTCCTTGTCCGTTTGATCAACGCTAATGTCATCCAATCTCTCACTATCAACTATCAACTCATCCTCCGTTCCCATCCTCCTTTCGAATCGTCATATTAAAGCAAGCAATATGTTGCAAGTTTTATTCGTGTTCGTAGATGCAAAATTTTAAGTATGTTACAGCCAATAAAATTAAAATAGCGATTTACATACTTCCTATCATAATACCCCCCTAGTATAATACCACTATCCGATCAAAGTACCCCCCCCCCCCGTGTATAGTACCCCATGGTACAACGAGGTTTTGTAAAATACCACTGGTACTTTAGTCCGAGAAATACGGTATTTATTTAGTACGATTTTGAAAATTTGGGGGGACAACTTTTGTCCAGTGAGCGTAAAACATTTGATGTTTGGTAATGAAAATTTACAGATGATTATGATCAGGCTTTATTATTATTATACATATTATTATATTTTAAACCGATTGCACATTCGTGTCCCGAATTAGAGTCGGTCGGATACTTATGACCGCTACTGTATATGTGCGCGACACTTCTGAATAAGGTAACAAACGCGTTTGTTGTCGTGTAATTTTATTGGTACAAAAAGACGAGAAAATTCTATCGCTAACATTTCCCCCCGGGACCGTAGCCCCTCAATAGAACCGACCATTGTTTGACGCGCATTTCCGATTCTCAAACGATGATGATTATCAATGAAACATGATATACCACAGTTTTTTACGGCAAGTTATCCTGGAAATTGGGTTTCCTTTATTGTGGTAAACAGCATAATCTAATCTACCCACGATCACTCGGTAACAAACTGTTTTCAATCGAAATGCTACAAAAACACAATAATGAACATATTGTTGTTAATGTGTGTATACAGGAAGTAGCAAAAATAGGAATGCTCGCAAAACAAGAAAATCATAAAATCTTAAAGTTCAACTGCGTATTGATAATGACCTCATTATCAGCATGCTTAAATTAAAATTTTATTTTATCAATCACTACCAAGCAATAATCCAAAATATTCATTCAAGACACTCATAAATTATTGCGAGTAAGAAACAATTTCTCTTTGCATTCTTATATTTTTTTATCCTCTGGCAAGAATCAAATCGCATAACGGAAAAAGAAGAGTTCCTTCAAATCTATTTCACATTATCGCCAAATGTTCGACAAGTATTAATGGTGAAAATACAAAACATACAGAACATACAATAGGATGGATTAACACAACGTAATAGCAAAACAAGCAAACAAACAAACAATAAACGCTATCGACGAGATAGAGTGCGACCGGATAGCTTTGGAGAAGCATTATAAGTCTCCAGCGCGACAGGAGTGACGTTACCAGCAGCACATGCTGCAGCATATGCAAGGGGAATATCCTTTTTCATTGCCGGAGACATATTTTTGTCACGTAACTTGGCTAAATCTGCCTCGGTATCAACACTAAGAAGAGTCAGTTTTGAAGGAGGCATCCATTTCCTGTTGCAAACAAAAAATAATAAAGTCAGACACGTCCAACACATATGCACAATAGTTCGTTGGTGGGAAAAATGGAAGCACGTAAGCACAGATACATGCTTCACCTACCATGATCGTGGACGTCCTTTTCTTCCTTTCTTCTCGTCGAAAAAGTTAACTAGATACTCATCCCGTGATGTCCTATCAGCAAGGATCTCCGGTGTTATTTCTATGCTGTCAGGATCAACAACCTACGGATGAAGTATATGGATAAACAATGGATCCAAATGTCAGCATACCTTATTCAAATCAAATGCCTCACCTCTCATTTCACCAATTTTACCTCAGCTGGGTACCAAGGAAACCCAGTCATCTTTGCCCATACAAGCGTTCCAACTGGATATCTCTCGCTTGAATCATTAACGTTTTCTACAATAGCATCCGTAGCATCTGAGTTCACTTTCATATCGATGGCCTGATGTTTCGTATCTTATTTATTTCAAGTTACAGATATTACCAAGATCAGTTGAGGAGACAACAGGAAGATCGTTCATTGAGAGAATTCGAAGAACTCAGTATCAATCGCTTACCCGAAACAACGATATCCATATCGCTAACACCATCTAATGAAGCAGATGATACTGCCTCTGCCTCCTTGTCACTAGACTCTTCCTCGGAGAGATAAACCCAACCTTTAGGCAGACGTTTCTCTTCATTGCCAGCGGCCTGTGCTGATGCTATTTCCGCTTGCTCCGCAGCTAGGCGTGATTGTGATCTTGTAGTACGAGGAGATACCGCTGGATGTATATGCGACGCGGATGCGTTAACTCGACGTCGTTTAGGTTTTGGTGGCTCAATAGGCTCGGATTGTTTTTCAATTAGTCCTGGTTCGGGCGACGGCGGACGTAGCGGACCGAGAACATCACTTGCTATTTCAGGCCTTATGCTGTATTTCAATATTTGTGTATTCGGAATGAATTGTAGGCTGGCATAATCGGATTCTGCTTTATCTAAAATGTCCTTTGCTTTTATACGTATACTTCGGGCCGATCGATAGTATTTAGTATTGGCTGCATTATATGTCATAGCATTTTCAAATATCAAGTTTATATCTTGCTAAAAGGTCAAAGTTTGCAGTAGACATAATTAAAATTTTGCGTCTGTAGAATAATATTAGATTGACTATATACAACTTTTTACCTTAAATTCCTCCATATTGTTGTATATATGACCGTCTATTTTTTGTCTCATTGTTCCAAAGTCCATGGGATGCTTAATAATATCAAAATAGTCAGGTGCCTCTTCCAATGTTACTGGTCTTGCGAAAAATCCATCATCATCGTATCTACATGAAAATGGGAAATGAGTAAGTGAACACGTACTAACCCTGTCGAACCCAATACGTTCTATAAACATCACTTACGCCTCTATCTTTGATAGTGCTTCTCGTTGTAAGTGATATAATGGGAAGAATGATATTTCCAAATAGTCTCTCACGACCTTTATTCGACGCAGTTTGAATTTCTCTCGCCTTGCTACCAAATCAGCTAATAACCTCACTTTTTCTAGATCAGTACGGAGATAGCGCATTGACTACCAAAGAAATTTGTTAATCATGTACGATAATGCAAACAACAGTGACAGGTAATACGCACTTGGTATTTCTTTGCTCTTTCTGCTTCTGACTGTTTGAGTGCGGACGCAGATGCCGTCCATGGCTAAATAAGAGTAATTACGTGTTAATAACGCTTATAATCGAACTAAAGCGTAATCGAATAGAACCCCTTCGTTGTTCATTACCTCTAAATGTAATCTCTTAAGAAGAGGAGCTCCACGTCGACTACGTCTCTTCAAAGACCAATAAGCGCTTATATCCCTCGCAAGCTCTTTCACCTTCTTCAACGAACCTTTTTGTTTATTCAATAAAGTCACCAGTAACGCCTGTATATTCGCTGGCACTTCGTAAGTTGTAGTCGAATACGACCAATTATACGCTCTTGCTGCCTTAGGATCAAGACTCTCATCAACAAATACCAACTGCTCGGGATTATTATTCTTGGTAGACATATTAGCGCGGCGTGTAGAAGTTTTTTCTTCCCCTCCGCTTCCACCTTCTGCGTCAGATTCGGATGAATTCCGATTATCATATCCACTGTCACTGGCTTCGGGTTCATATGTGGCGTCACTGTCATCATCTGAAGAGGCGAAATAATGGTTTCCAGGTATATACTCATCATCTTCGACTGGCTTACGAGATTTACGACCACGAAGTTCGGCGAAAGATTTAATCACTGCTTCAAGATGTTCTTCGACTTTATTTTCTGTTCTATACTCAGCCTGTTTACATAGTCACATTATTACTTACTGAAACAGAATTCAAATCATAAAACGTTGCAAATGCGACAAATGTTGGGTACTTACAGGACCATGTTTATGACAGAACGCCCAGTGTCTGCCAAGTTGATCCGGTTCATTGTAGGGTGACTTATGCTTAATATAGAATTTGGCTTTGCGTCCGCATGTAACATGAAACGCTGCAAAACATTTCGGATCTTCACACTGGATGCAAGCGCCCATCTTTATCTTACATATGTAGCATGTCTAAACGTAAGGTGCCGGATTAAAGTCATGAAAAACCGATAAAAAGAAAGAAGGGAGTGTTAACATTATCATCACTTGATTCTTTTTCATTATTAAAGAAAATCTTTACTTACTAGTAGCCAGCGCGCTTTTGGCACAGCATGTACGTTATCGATTGGTTCCATATATACAGTGTTTGTGACTAAGACTTCGGGTATATACAAAGCGCAAAGTAAATGTGCCCATTGATTAGATGTGGTCTGTTTAAAGGCGCCGCCTTCGTTTGGACAGAATACACATGACTACAAAAGCATAACGAAGGATGAGAAATGCATTGATAAATACCATCGGATGAATATTTCTAGTCATCGCTTACCACCGGACTTTCAGGAGATACCATGCACTTTCGACATAACCATTGACCTTCTGGTATATATGGTATTCCATAACAATCTAAATGATAACGATTAATATTGTAAATACATAATATTAATAGTAAATAGATGTTATGAATTTACCTTGGTGCACAGCTAAATTACATCCATCGCAGAACACAATGGCATTACTATTTTCAGCATCGCTTTCTTCACAAATTGAACATACACTCTCTTCTGCTAATAATGATTTAGCGGGTGACTTTGGTGCATTCTTTGTCTAATGTTAAAAACATAACAATGTTTGTGCGTCGAAATACAAATAAATACGACTTTAATTGGCAAAACGACATATCGCGTATCATTACACACTTACTGCCTCAAACCACTCTTTTTCTAACCGGTCGATATAGGCCTCAAAAGTGTTGTGAGTAACTTCTCCGAGATCCATTGCTTTTCTAGCTTCATTTATTTCTTGTAACCAGTAATCGTCTAATAGAAGCAATAATGTTATGTATAGACCAAATAGTGCCAACATAGAAAAAGTTAAAAACATCTTACCCTGCTCATCCATATCATATTCAACTCTCGCTGCAAGATCCATCTCTGTTGGCTCTAAAAATGTAAACAAACCAAAAAAATATATTATTTTTCATGCCTTTTCATTATTAAGTCTGTAACAATCCGTTTTTACATACCCTCATGTTTAACATAATGACCCTCGGGTCGAATGAATGGCCTTTCATCAACGTCTTGTTCAATACTTCTAAACGTCGCTTTAGGTATCCGTTCTAGTATCTTTCTCTTAATCTCTTCGGCTCTTTCAACATTAGTTTTTGGCGCTGGAGGTGGAGGTGGAGACGGTGGCGGCGGCAGGTCTATAATCTCTTCCACAGCTGCCTGAGCGGTAGGAGATCGATTAGGAGGGGCAACAAATATTGGTGTTATCCTTCTCGGTGTAGGCGTAGGCGTCGGACTTGCTATATTAGTATCCGGTGGAGGCGAAGGAGTGCGCGATCGCGGTGAGGGAGAGGGCGATCGTGGCGCAGACTGTCTCGTAAGCTCACTCTGCGTCAGTAGAGGTTGACTTGGTGTTGGTAGTTGTGGATCAGCGAGCTCTGGTGGAGGGGTAAGCCTTCCCACTCTAGGTGCCACTATGTCTAGTGACTCTTCGACGTCAAGATCAGTATAAATGTCCGTGTACGATCTTTCCTCTCGAGGAACAACATCGTCATAAAGTAAAGAAGGATCGAGAGGAGCGGAGGCACCATCGACATCCGATATAGGGATGTGTTTTGAGTTCCGAGAAGCATTACGACCTCTCCTTGTCTTCTTGCGACTACCAACTCCCTTGCGGCTTCTCCTTGCGTCTGCGTATCGGTATGATGTCCTTGATTTTGGTTTTGTCATATAATATATTCTGTGGATTCGTATTATGATAATGAATGGCAGTAAAAGCGTGTATTAATGTGAATGATCGTGAAAAGAGAGAAGCCGTAAAGAAGTTTGAAAAGTTTGGAGAAAAATCTAAGTTTTGGGATTTATTTTATTCGTTACATAGTAAAGTCCCTATCTGGCTGGCTACGCCCTAACTTTTTATTGGCTAAAATTTTACAAAAGACATGCCAATAGGTTTCTTACACGTGATGTCCGTACAATCACATGCGTGCGATAAAAGCTTTGATACTCAGACGTCAAAGTTCCTCGCGATAGATACTCAGACGTCATAGCTCAACCAGTTAACGTTTTCGCAACTTGAGAGATAGCTATAAGCCAATAGTAATAGTGAGTTTCGCTCGGCGTGTCAGTTCTGATCGACATCGTTAGACCTTGAAACCGCAGGGAAGCCGTTGAGAAACCGTTGAGGAAACTGTAAAGAAACCGTTGAGGAGCCTGAACGTTCTGTGTTTAAGATTGCGATACTTGTATATTATTTAGGAATCTTATTAATATACTCGCCTCACACGGGCGGAGAACTTAACTCTAGCATCAACAACCTACACTCCACAGGCTAGAAGGTACTACCGATTTGACAATTAAATGAACTATGCGTATTTGTCAAATTACCTTTATTAAGATCGTAGGTAGCGGTTCATATGAGTAATGTTAATTAATAAAGTGTCTATGATAGACGTTTTCAAATTCGATTATGATCATAGCAAGCGGATTTTGATAAAGTGATAATTATTGTTATGATAGGCACAAGCGCCGAATGTAAATACAGTGCGTTTCTTCACACCCAAATACAATTCCACAACACCACAGTCCCTCCCATGTAACCGTCTAGCTTATGGTTGATAAGCAACAACAAAGTGTGCCATGCTTTTTTTGTCAACGAGATCAGTGACAAAAGTCATCAATCGCATACGTTCAACCTAAGTAACACCATCCTTCCCCCTTCCCACTTACGCCTTTTTAAGAATTGACACATTTTTATGATAATAGTAATAAATAATCGTAATCTAATTACAAATAATGGTTCACGCTTACATAAATATCTTGTGAAGGAAATTGATGTTAGAAACACGCCAAAAGTTAACCCCCCCCCACATATATAAAACGGTTGTTGTAATAGACAAAATAGAGTTATCCAGAGTTTTGTCTAACTCCGCAAAAATCGTCAATATTTATCTCAAAACTCTCTTCCAAGGTGTCGCGCATTAGCACTACTATTACTACTTGCCGGTTAAAACTTTGTTGTGAGATTCTTCTCAAGAAAATATTTTGATGCAAATGAAAAGTTGTTATTCGTCGATTGTGCAAAAAAAAAAAGACATTAAAATCGGTTTTTACAGTCAAGAAACATGTGCGAGCATTGGAGTACATTATTAAGAGGTAGAATAAGAATCTGTCACTTCTTTTAGTATTAGTATTAAGGCAAGTTTTAATGTCACTAAAGTGTGAACAGTTTATTTCTAGAGCATTCTTTAAATGTAGAAGAGGCAATGTATAATAATAAGTGAGAGATTCCATGGTAATGGTAATAGTAAAATTATTGCTAAATATAAATATAAACCCAAATTAGAGAAATATAACTTGATTGCCTGTCCGTCAATTAACTAATACTAGTACTAGTCAGTCATCATATTAATATCACAATAGTAGTGCTTCAGAATACCATATATACAATAGTGTTCAAATATGGGTTTCGCATCGGTATTAGTATTTCATCCAATCTATTAATATTAAATTAATAGGACAGGAAATTTTGCTGGTGAATGTGGGAATTTTAAGTTACAAGTGATCAGATAGCTTTTACGATTGATTTTGCGATCAATTTAAATTGACGATTGTTAGGTATGAATGAAGAGAGTTTCTGCTGCTTTTATTCGACAAATGTTTCAATTTTCTGTAACGAAAAACCGTCCAATAAAATCCATCAAGTTAAAACCATATGATATACTCGAATTATTTAGTTATTTGCTGTTTCAATAATCGCCCTCGTTTCAGTAAACGCCCAACTACAAATAAGCAAAATTCAAATGATTGAATTTTTTTTAAATTTCAAAAGCAACAACAAGAATCAACAGAGAATAATAATGATGGATATTGGAGAATGGCGAGATAAGGGGGGTAATCTGCGGCAATTTTTGCAGTGTATTGGCTGCAGAGGGTTTCGGGAATTTGAAGACGTTGAAAAGAGGTTTGAGTTAATCTGGAAAGAAAATGCGTTGAAAAATAAAAGAGGCTATTATGATTTTACGTTAAGACCATTCAATGGCGTAGACGAAAAGCAGAAAAATTAAAAAGACATCTACATTCATTATCGCCATCGGCATCAGCATTTACATCCTCATTATCGTCATTTGTCTTTCCTGACTTGCAAGCACGTTTAGAAGAACCGAGTAATTGTTGTAAAATTCTTAATAAACAAGTCTTATGACACGTATAAATATATACAACATCGTCGGTTGCCAGATAACAGTAACGAATTTTGAATAAAGATTTTAAATGTTTCTGTTTCGCTTGCGCGCTGATTTACTTATTATTGTAGAAAAAAATAAATCGTCAAATCAACAAATTTCACGTCACGCATGTTACATAAATCACTAATTAGAAATGATGTGTTTCAATTTTTCGGAGATATATAAAAAGTAATCTATCTTTAAAACCTTTCAACTCAGCGTAGAGGCATTTCTATGACGAACTAGCCAGTAACTTTGTAAAGCATATTGTGACAAACATAATTACTGGCAGATTTTCTAAAAAAAAAAACGCTTCTACGTTGAGCTGAAAGGTTTTAAAGACAGGCGGTTTTATTGTCGAGTATAGAGGTGGTGCACCATATAAAAATTAAGAACTTGCAGAAAGTTTCAATTAGTCCTGCTACGTAGCTTTAATTGCGCGACCTCCCCAACAACAAATTTAAGCGACATAAGCCACCAAATTTTCAACAGTGGCAACCATTTGTGTTGATGCCACAGTATGTCATATAATCTTCGATAAAATAAACTTCCGTAGCTTAAACTATTACCGGCAGCCCGTCGGCTTTATCGTCGAGTTTGACCATGTATTTACTACGTTTCTAAAACAGATAATATACCGTTACGTGATGCCGTTGGTGTTTTAGCTTGCTAATTTGCATGTCAACGTTGACCAGGTCAATGAATTTCCCAATTTTTTCGAAACTTGAATTGCTGACGTAAAGGTCTGGCTAGCTTAAGTTGTTAAAGCGTCAGGCGATCCTTACGTACGAGGCCGTCAGTTCAACCCTACAGTGTTGAGGTGAACGAATTTTGGAAACCGTACTAAGGATCCCTGGAGATATGAGTTCAAATCTCGTGCCAGACAATATTAAGAACAGATTCTGCTTTACAAGATGCCTTCGATATTTATTTAAACTAATATTCGTATTATAAGCCTTACTCAGTCCACGAAAATTACGCGGATTGGATATGGTAAAACTAGTTATTGGTACGTATAGAAAGCTTAGATTCTATCTAACGTTTCTGTCCAAAGTGTCTCAGCTGCTGCCTAACTAATTAATTTGCCGATCTCACGAATTTAAAGATAGTACAGTCAACTTCGATAAGCCGTCCGCATTTCAAGTCTTCATTTAAAGGTAGTGATTACTGTATTACGGGAACTAAACAACACTGAATCACTGCGTTTATATTCAATTGAATACTTTGTAAAACTCTCTGTTTGAGTCAATATGTATGTAATGAAAACGATAGCACGTAAATCTCTTATGAATTCAGTATTAGCAAAGTTTTAATACATAGGCTTTGTTTGCGCTAAATGTGTAGCAGTAAAAAGTTAATTCTGCCATATAATATTTGTTATACTAGAGCGAACAATCATTAATTAATCAGAAGTGAGTGTACGCTTAATATGGTATTGGCTTTGAGAAATAATTGATATGGGTGTATCTAATACTATACATAAGAAAATTCTCCTGCGTTTATGTTTTCGCGGCTTCATATTTACTGGCAATTCAATTTATGCTTTCTACTGGACATACTACTTTTCAACGCTTTGACATGTATAGAATCTTCTATGTTCCACTTTAATCAATACTAACGTAGCTGGAATGACAGTATGTTATTTTGCGAAAGAGGACGGGATGGATAAAGAATAAGGAAACGTCCAAATAACACGCGTTTTATGCCATCCGACGCCATTTTTGTAGTAACACAAATATTTTAAGATTGAGATCTGTTCTAGACTTTATATTTATGGCTCTTGATCAGCTGAACCTTATTTCCATTCTTGGAAAAGTTATAGTGTCGATTTTTAATATTAAGCTTTTTAATAGCAATTATAATATGGTTTTATAGTCCATGGTTCATAGAAAATCAATAGTGAGCAGAAACATATTGGCCCGAATGTCACTTCACATCTTACTGCAGCATCTTGTAACATGAGAATTTTGGCTTTCTAGCTAGGTGAATTAAAATCTACCTCAATCATCGAAACGCGTCATGCTTCGATTAACTGTCACGGACGGGACTAATTTGATTGGGTTTACTGCTAAATTATTACGGGGGTAAGAAAAAAAAAATCTGTGGCACTTGTACATCCCCGAAATTAAAATGTACTTTAGTCATAGCCTAATTATTTTTTGAAATTGTGGATAAAGTATGATTTCGCGTAATGTGTCTGTATCAAAAAAAATATGTCGATTGTCGATGCATATGCCGCATTCGCGCCATCAGATAATCTACCATAGCAAAACGCGAATTCGCTCATTATCCACCTCGGAGAGTATGCATTCAAAAGATACGCCTCTGGGGACATCAGATAAATCTTATGCGGCGACACTATTGCTTCCCAAAACCGACTTTCCTCTTCAAGTAGATGCCATAAAACGTGACGAGCAGTATCGACAGAGGACAACGGTTGAATTGTACGACTGGCAAGTAAGTGATTAAATGTAAACAACCGGATAATTTTTAATCAAGACGTTGATTTTGAAATTACCACTTTCATTTCATATCATATCCAGGCGGAAAATAATCCTAAAGACAGTTTTATTCTTCATGATGGTCCACCATATGCGAATGGACATTTACATATTGGTTAGAACTTTGTGTTTGTTGCATATTGGCCAAATTAAAAACTAAACTGTATATTCATGAAATGTCATTCAACAGGCCATGCATTAAACAAAATTTTGAAAGATATAATACTACGTTACAAGATTTTGCAAGGACACAAAGTGAGGTGAATTATTAGTTTGTCTGTGTTTTCTTCATTGTCTACTCACTAAGCTGGCAATCCAACAGCTACATACCTGGATGGGATTGTCATGGACTTCCAATTGAATTAAAAGCCCTAGAGGTTTGCGTTTACAAAATAAATTTCCCTGTGCTTCCTCAAGTGATTGTAGAATGTGCTCATATGAAAATTGATTCAATATTAAAGCGTCAACGTGGACAAGGCTCTGCTCTGTCACCCCTCGAAATTCGCGATTTGGCCCGCAAAACAGCATTGGAAGCGGTGAATATACAAAAAGCGGAATTCCTTAGTTGGGGTCTTATTGGCGATTGGGAGAATGCATATCTCACTTTAGGTGTGCGGTCAATGTAAAATGATGTTCTAACAGTCAAAGAGTGCACTTATTGAAATATCTGTGACAGACAAAGATTACGAAGTTCGACAGCTGAAAGTGTTTCATGAAATGATGAAGAGAGGTTAGTACTCGGCAAATATTGTGATGAATACACTAGACTATTCGATTAATATGGTTATTACTTTCAATAAGGATATATTTATCGACAGAATAAACCTGTTTACTGGTCACCTTCATCAAGGTAGAGTGTCTGTCTCGTGGGTTGTGTACACTTGGATAAATCTTATCATGAAATTTCATTAATGTAATGGCCTATTGACCATATGATAGAACTGCCCTTGCTGAAGCGGAACTGGAATACCCTGATGATCATAAGAGTATATCGATTTATGCTACTATGGTAATCGATAAACTACGTACGTATCTCCCTAACCAGGAGGAAAACTCCGGATCCATGATTAGATACATGCCTTGTGTCTTCTCTATGCTTTTGACATATGTGAATAACAGTTGTGGGTCATTTTTAACGTGTATATTGTTCTATTATTAGCTTTACCATTGCAGAATATTTTACCGACAGACCAGTCTAGGGTATCCATTATTGTCTGGACCACCACGCCATGGACATTGCCGTCTAATCAAGTATGTTCATGTGAATTTGCGCAAAAAAAGGAAGCCTTTATTATCGATCATAGCATACGGACTATAATTGACACGTTTATAGGCGATTGGAATCAATCCAGATATGAAATACTCTTTCGTTGAAGTAGAGGGTGACAAAAAGGAATATTTCCTAATTGCAAGTGAGAGATTGAGTGAAGTTCAGAAAGATGTTAATATCGTAGTAAACGAAGTTTTGGCAGAGATACTTGGTACGTTAAATTGCGAGAAATTTGATCAATTGGCGTAAATTAATATTTTTGTTTATCTGTTGTTGGTAAAACACTAGGCTCTTATTTAATCCATACTACTTACCGACATCCAATATATGATACAATCCACAAAGTAATTGCTGCGTCCTATGTAAACGAGTGCTCTGGCACTGGTAATCTTCTCAATCGTTTATGGAATGATGTACATGATACTATATTCTACTGTTATATACCTAATTTGTTTTCATATCAATAATTCGAACATATAAGGTCTTGTACATTTGGCTCCTGGTCATGGTATGGAAGATTATGAGGCGTGCAAAGCCCAATCAATAGCCATTTTCTCTCCTGTAGATGATTTTGGCAGATTTACCAAAGACGTCAAGATACCTGACTTTGTTGGTAAGAACGTGTTGACAGACGGAACAGAGGCTGTTATCGACTACTTGCGGTCGAACGGAAGACTGCTTAAGCAACAGCAATATGAACATAAGTATCCATATGACTGGAGAACAAAGAAACCAGTTATATTGAGAGCAACACCGCAATGGTTTGCTAACGTTGAGGAAATCAAAAAAAGGGCTATTGAAGCATTACAGAACGTGAGGATGTTGCCCGAGACTGGTATGAGTTATATATTGCATAATTAGATACATGTATTATGCTGCGACATCAACCTAAATACCATTGACTGTGAGTAAAGCAAGACATCGGCTGGAATCATTTATACTGTCACGTAACGAATGGTGTATATCTCGACAACGAGCTTGGGGAGTTCCAATACCTGTTCTATACGATAAAGAAACAGGAGATCCATTATTGACAAATGAATCAGTACAGCATATTACCGAAATCATAAGAGAACATGGGTCAGACGCATGGTGGACCATGGATGAGAATGAGCTGATTGCTCCCGAATATAGAAATAATGGTAAGGTGACCATTGCAATTGCATAATGAAAGACAGATATCCCACTGAAGTGTTTGCCCATCGGGGTTAAATTATAGGATGCGGTTATCGCAAAGGAATGGATATTATGGATGTATGGTTTGATAGCGGGATTAGTTGGACTTTAATTGATGAGAAGTTAAAACGGTATGTTCTTCTGTCAATGTCTTTTACCAAATATTAAACACGTCTATGGATAATCAAATATAACAAACAATGTTATAGGGAAAGTCATCGCTCGGTAGCTGATTTATATCTCGAGGGCAGCGACCAACATCGTGGTTGGTTTCAGTCATCGCTGCTAACTTCTGGTGAGCCCTGGATCTATCATTGTCTTTTTCAAGTTTAACTTTGTGTATCTAAATTTGCTTATTGTTCGGATTCAGTCGCTGTATTATCGAAGTCACCTTACTCGATGTTAGTTACCCATGGCTTTGTACTTGATGAAAAAAGTCGTAAAATGTCCAAATCTGTTGGAAATGTTGTCAGTCCTGTTACAGTTACTCATGGTGGGAAGGTATGTGGTATCTGAAACAACTATTTATAATTATTTGCGTTTCATGTATGTTGTATATAACATTTTCTAGGGCAAGAAAGCCAATGGTGCTGATGTCCTCCGACTTTGGGTTGCATCTTCAGAGTATACATCAGACGTTACTATAGGGTCAAAGATATTAGGTAAGCCGAGATTTTCTATTATGTTATGTCAACCGGTGGATCGAGTACTATTTAAATGCGGTTTGTACAGAGCAGATAGCAGATTACTTAAAGAAGTACAGGAATACGGCTAGATTCCTACTTGGAAATATAAATACTTTTGACTATAAAATGCTGTTGGATTACAGTCAACTGAAGTCGGTGTGTACGTTATGCAAAGACGCAAGCAAAATCAATAGGTGAATTTAATATTCTTGATATTGTTGGGTTCTGATTTGTAGGTGGACAAGTACATGCTTCATGAATTGTACCATTTTGGTAAAACTGTGACGAATGCATATAATGACTTTGCATTTATTAAAGGTATCTATTTGGATCATTATGCGTTGTTATTCGAGATGACAAAATATAATAACAATCTTGTCTTCTTGTTTAGTTATGCAAGCATTGAATATTTTCACGTATTCTTCACTTTCTGCGTTTTACTTTGACATTGTAAAGGATACTTTATACGCAGATTCTGCACAGAGCTTGCGTAGACGCAGCGTACAAACCGCGTTCTATCATGTAAGTTACAATAACCTTTTTTGCTTTTAGACCTCATAACATGAATACTTTCTAATTGCTCGAGTTCTATTTAGATACTTACTACATACATGCTTTCGCTGGCGCCGATCGCTCCCCACTTAGCTGAGGAGATCTACTCACATTTCAAACATGTTGGTGCAGTAAAACACAGCTCAGTGTTTAAGCTTGGGTGGATGGATCTGGTAGTATGATTCTGATACTAATTGATGACAATTGCATTGAGAACAACATATAGTATTCCCTGTGACTAATCCGGTGTTTTGCGAATAGAATCCGCAATGGGACAATCCACAGTTGCAAAGCGAATGGGAAGTCTTGAAAAAGTTCAGAAGTGAAGTAAACAACGTACTTGAAAAAGCAAGGAAGAACAAGTGAGCATTTATTTGGCAATTTTTGGAATGATTTATCACGTCACATTAACTAATACAGATGCACATTAATTAAACATCAGAATAATAAAAAGTTCATTAGAAGCAGCGGTCGACATCTACGTCTCTGATGCTTCAAGCCTCTACACTCTTCTTCAAAAATATGGTAATGAGCATCGTCTTTCTGTAGGGTTATATTCGTTGTTTTCCTGATTACTAGCTAACCTCCCTTTGAACAGAAAAAGATCTAGATCTCATACTTATCACATCCAACGCGAGCATCATCACAGACCGAGCTGTTGATGAAAAGCATCATTTTATGCTAGATATTGAAAATTTAGGTGGTGGAAGCAATTCAAATATTGTGGTCAAAAAAGCAGCCAAGCACAAATGTCCAAGGTGTTGGATATATAATGCAGATGAAGGAAAGCTTTGTAAACGATGCGAGGCAATTATTAGTATATAAGACTATAAATAAGATACGACATTGTTCTCCCAAATGGGGGACAATGAACTCGAGTAAAGTTTATTTCCTTCCTACTATCATCAATTGCTTTTAACGGTGTATTATCTTCCACAAAAAAATTTTTATTAGTACGAAATGGGAGTCTGCTGTTTCAGTTACAATTTCGCTTGTATTTATTAGAGATAGTTACAGATTGGCAGAAAATATTCGGAATTGTAGTAAAAATGCTAAAATATCACGCGTAACTAATCAACACTGAATTGTTTAGAATGGCGACGGAAACGTGGAATAGTCCATCATCCGTAAATAACCTATTTCTCGCAAGATAATTTTTACAATAGCCTAACGTCCTCGTCTGGTTCACATGGTTGATGACCTCACCGTCCCATTTCAGATTCGTCAGGCAACTTTCAGAATACCTGCATTTATGAGTTTGCGAATATTGGCCGCTACCATGGGATTCTTCATGTGACTATTTCGAAAAATAAAAGAAAGTAAGTAATAATATTCAAAACCAGTAAACGAGAAAAGAAATCATACGTACTCTCGAGCCGCCTGTGGATCTTCTTGCATCTGTTGTAGAATTGAAGACATGGCTGGGTCTTGAAGAATTTTCTGTAACAAAAAAAGAGTTTGAATAATTCACTTTTACAAATAAAGTACAGTGAAATCTCTTTATACCCAGTCATTGTTCTTACTATGACGGTCCAAATTTTCAGGAAGGTTTGATTGTGTGCGTATCTATTCTATGTGCCGGTTTCTCCTCATACCCCGGCCAAAAATTCTGCGACCAGAGCTAACTGGTATAAAGAAGTTTCACTGAAATTTATAATCACTTCACATAAGAGCGCAACGCACCTGTATTTCGGGATCTTGAGCTGCTCTTTGTAGCCTTTCAGCCACATTCTCATCTTCGCCTCTAGCATTGTAACATTTTACAATCTGCTGGTTTATTTCATTTGTGTGTTTTCCGTCTTTATCTTGTTTCAGGGCTTCTTCACACGTACTTAAGCATTTTGTATAATCCTTCATCGCGAATTCTACAACGGCCTTACGTATATATGCCTTAACTGTTGGTTGACGAAAATGGTTAACTCGTTTTGCAGGACGCTTCAATAGGAAAGAATCGTTATAAGATTATAGTTCAAAACTTACCAAACGTAGGATCTACCTGTATGCAAGTCTCACAATCTTTCAGAGCTTCTTGCAAAGCCATAAGTTTAGTGTAGCATGCAGCACGATTACTGTATGCCCGTGGATCTTTGTCATTACGCTTTATGGCTTCAGTGTACTTTTGCACTGCATTAACAAAATCGTTCTTCTTGAACAGCTCATTCCCTTCTTCGCGGGCCTTGTCGGCGAGCTCTGGATTATAGTAAGCTTCTTTCTCAAGCCTCGCTTTTTCTTTCTGCGCCTGTATTGGGTGGATAAATTACATCCGTCAGTCATTAATAATGCCGGGGTAGTTCAGACATTTCTACTATCAAGTAAACAAGCAAGCATTAGTACTAACTTCTTGCAACTTTTTAAGAACATCGGGAGTACGATGTTCGGTGAGAGACTTGTTGTAGTATGTGATTGCCTCGTCATAATTATTCAATTTTATATACGCATTCCCTTTTCGAGCGTACGCGCTGGTGATTGTAAAGGTCATTAATTTAGTAATCGAGTTGAGTCAAAATAATTGTCAATACACAGCAAATAACCTACCGGGCTATCAATTTGAAATCGGCTCGATGTTCACGCCCAACTTCAATCGCTTCATCGCACACTTTAATACATTCTTCATATTTATTTTGCTCTAATAAGACGGCTGCGCAGATGATCATAAATCTGATCGTCAGCACGATAGTAACATATTCGATTCGATTCATTTTCAGATATCTTATATTTACCAGCTTTGTTAGTAAGTATCGTCACGTTTGTTGAGTCCAACTCCCAGGCTTTGTCGTAATGCTGCAATGCTTCATCAAAGTTTCGTTTTTTGTAGGCTTCATCGCCAAGAGATTTAGCCTTTAGAGCCTCCTCCTTTCTTGAATTTTCGTCGGCTACTGTGTCTTGTTCTTGCATTGGTAAATGTCTCTGTTGTACATAAGCATCATCCCACCTTATATTCAGCGAAGATTTATGGAAAGCATGTCTCGTGACAAGTTATCCAGAACCTTCGAAAAAGTTCTTGAATGCTCATGAAAATAGCCAGATTAATACATCGATATGGCATAACGTCACATAAACGTTCAGGGGTCAGAATTGGTCACGCCACCATTTTTCTTGGTCAAATTAAAGTGTCTAATCCAACATGGTTACATGGCAATAAGCTCGTTACACGCCGCAATTTTTGAATTCCGACACTGCTTTTTTATGAGTCAAATTAGTATGTTATCCGCCGCTCTCATCGCGTTATTCCGTCATCTAGCGCTTTTTATGATCAATGTATTTTTGGGCGACTCAAAAAAAAAAACACGAATGGACGGATGGATTCAAGGTGTTCGATGCAGAATATGTTGTACTGCTATAAAATGTCGGGAAATTATCGTTAGATTTAAGCCGTCTGCTTGAATTAATACATGACCAACATATGACTCGCATATTGATAAAACGAACATTAACATGCGTAAACATTGGTGTACCCATTTAGAAGTCACTTTTATAACCAAGTTCTTTTAACTGTTGAAAGAGGAATACCTGTTACTTTATGGAGTTCTGTTTAAGATCGAATTCCATATTCAAAAGTGTAGAAGTGTTGGGCGTTGGGGAAATTAAGTTTGTTTGAATGCATCTTTAAAGTACCAAAAAACGTCAGAACAACTAAATTAGTTTACGGTTTGTATACTAATATTGGTTTACGCGTTTAGTTTATCCAATATGGAAAAAATTTGCTTTGAGTTTACAATTTTCGATCTTAACACGCCGTATATTTGTAAAGCAAATGCGAGGGCGTTAACAATGAGTGATGTCAGTCACCGAAAGACAGGTCTTGTCTGAGGATACGCGAGCTCTCTGGTGTGTTAAGGGTATGGTTTACCTGTAGTTAGTAGGAAACTAAATCAATATATCGAAAATCTAATTTTTCGAGAATCTCTACTGGCGTATCGTCGTAAATATTTTTTTTGCAATAGAAGTTTATGTGCGCAATCTGTATTAGTCCACTACATAAAACTACAGTAGCATTATCTATGAAAAGGTTTTTGTAGATATGGCAGTAAAGATTTAACCATGAGAAAACAAAACCCTTAAACAAACACGAGAGGCTCGTATATCCTCAGACAAAGTCCACGTATAAGAAAGACCTATCTTTCAGTGACTGATATCTCCTTCACGGTTCTCTTCAATTAGCTTTACAAAATATGTCTTGTAATTAATTTTGCTTGACAATGTCCTCTGAGCATATAAAAAGCAACTTGGATTAGATTGAGTCTACGCTGTCTGTCGACTTATAACTTTATTGCAAAAAATAGCACTAATTACGCAAGCGTCCATAAATGCTAATTTACTAATAATATCCAAGAAATGTCAAAAATTATGATTGCTCTGCCATTTTACGAGATGAATAAGAGTCTTCTCGATGTTTGTGACTTTGACATCTTTGAAGCTGACATTTTTTTTCGCGAGGCGGTGCGAGGCGGCGATCTATTCGCACCTGGCGTGTCGTTAACGGATCCAACTGAGGTGATAGAAGTGGAAGTGGACGTTCCATCATCGTCTTTAATGAAGAGATTAATTTTCTCATCACTTATCTCAAGATGCTGTTTCTGCTCAGACATCTCGAGAGCGCTCAATCGAAGAATGTATTCGAAAAGACTAAGTGTCTTAAGATTGGAACGATATGCTTCAAAATCATCCAACGGATCACTCATCCCGCTATTATCATCATTATCACCAGTACTATCATCTGCGATACCGTCATCTTGTATTTGACCATTAGGTATAACCGGCTCAGGAGATGCTACCAAAGTAACATTCTCGGTTTTCGTTGCAGTCGTTGGGTTTTCTATACCACCTGTTTCAGTCAGATCGTCCTCTACCGTACTCTCGTCACTCGCTATGTCATCATCACTCTGAGGTAGTGGTATTCTTGAAGGAGTGTTAAGACTCTCCATTTCCGTCAGATTTTTCACTGGTTGAGGCGTAGAATAGCTTCTGTTAATCAAAGATGGATCACGCAAAGGTGTACTTGGTGTCTGCGTCTTTGGCGTAGGACTACACGGAGTAGATTCTGTATCAACTTTATCGTTATCTATTTCATTAGTATCTTCCCCTCCCTCCCCTTCCTCTTCCACATCCTCTTCCGCATCCTCTTCTTCGACAATTGCTGCATCTGTTTCCTGGAACAGCTCAATTCCATAATAATCTGTATTACCAGTATCATATGAATTCCTAGTTCTCGTATCTGGCGTAGCAGGAGCAGCAACAGAAGGAAGAACATAAAATGGATTGTCTTTCACTCCACTCGATAATGTTTCGTGTCTATTAGTTGGTGCTCCTTTAATTACAGTGATCACTAATACGGGCGATTTACTCTCTTCTATATTTAATAATGATCCTGAAGAATTGTAATATAATCTTGATATGTTTCTGACAGTAATCCTTTTCACTTTTCCGGGGATAATTACATTACTCTTGCCTAGTTTAGCAATAGTTTCTTTCTGTTTCTTTCTATCGCCCATATCAAACTCCTCGTGATATCGACCGTCATTAAGATCTTCTGTCAATATTAACTCGTAACAGAACTCTCCTTCTTCATTACCGTGATTATTATTTCGTATTCGAATGACTTCGGCATCACACTTTGTAAATTCCTCTTTCCAGGTAAAATCGCCAACCGATTTAGGGCGAACGTTGCCCGCAAATAGATAATATAGCTTCACTTTGAAAGGAGAGCCAACACGAATGGATGGCTCAGCAGACTTGATGAATTTGTGATGCGTGTCATTCAGCAGAGACGATGCCTGCATTAATCGTGATGGACTGACAGAATTGGGAAGGGACCAGCCAAGCTGATAACCAGGGAAAAGAAAAGCGAATGCAGAATTAGAAACAAACTAATGTAAATAAAGGAGGTATTAACTGTTGTCATTTTATTGTGTCCTACATTAGCTCCACTTGTCGTCAGGACGAGGTTCAAGTATGGTACGAATTTCTCTATCTTGATAGTCAGTGCTTGCATGTCCTTTATCATTGCCATATGGTCAAATTTACGCATTTTTGCTGCATCATCTGCCTCGGCCGTCGAAGTCTCCATCGTGATCTTATGAGCGAACGCGTCGATCTCTTTACGCAGCTGTAAGGTTCTTGCTACTGCTGGTTCGAGAGATGTATTACCGCGTTGACTTATAATCTCGATAAGATCAATGGCTGGCTGAACAATCTTGATACTTATATCCAGACTCTTTGATAGCAAAGAGGGAAAGAATATGTGAACTTAAGTTACAGAGACCCACAATATTAAAAAAAAAAAAAAAGCACGCGATAAATCCGCAATTCATTGCAGCAAATCATTAGAAAGTTGACCAGTGACGACCAGTATACTTTGCTAATAACGAGTCACGAAACGATATACTCTAGAGTAAGTGTCATCCGCAATACTACCTCACGAGCACGCTCAAGTTCACTCGTATCGATTTTACGAACTGTAGAATCTTGTTTAATGTAGCTGGCGACTTGTCTCTACAGCAAACAAGTTTTTGGCCAAGTAAGCAGACAGTTATGATGTCAACAATTTTCCGCTTGAATAAGCTAATAGATACTTTACCATTGCATAATTCGTGCTGTAAGCAAAAGCTGCTTTGCCGACCTATTGAAACAAATATTGGCATTTGTCAAGATCTTATATACACGTATATAATTCCAAAATCAGTTTTCTATGTACTTGCCAGCGTGGCAGTGTGAACGGCAAGTTTCGTTAATATTTCGTCCATGACGATAGCTTTCTTTGCTCAATCTCAAGAGTTATCAAAAGGGTGTATAGTCTCCAAAAAGTTTATGGCGCGTTGTGTCACTATTATTGGTTAATGACGTAACAAATGAACACGCGACATGAAAAAACATTGTCGTGCTGTTCTTGCGCTAAAGTTATTGGTCGACAGACAGCGTAGACTCAGGACCAATTCTCTAGGCGAAGTTGCATTCTATTCTTAAAAGACATTGCCAAGCGAAATTAATTACACGACATATATTTTGTAAAGCGAATTGAAGAGACGTGAAAGAGATAACAACGATGATACCAGTCACCAAAAGATAGATCATTGTTGTTGTCTGAGAATACACGAGCGCTCTGGTGTTTGTTAAGGGTTTGGTTTACATAGTCAATAAGAGAAAATCTTGCAAAGCAGAATAATAATCTTTCTAAAGTAATAAAAAATTCATCGTGGTAGGATTAAATTAGATTTTCATTTAATTAATTGATCATCAGAATCCACCAATACCATTCATTGTATCTTGATCGCGTTGTTAGCACGTAAACAACGCTAGAAAATCGTGACTTGATAAAGTGACACGAATAATCTTCACACTGCGTCTGTCAAAGTCCTTCGAGTTTCTACACTTAATAGAATTCTTGTATATTAAATGTAGGCACTAACGGTGTCTGCAAGTGACTTGTTTGTCCGTATAACATCATCAAAGAATTCGGATTCATGATTATATCTTCAAACTTGTATAAAAGACAAGAGCCCAATAATGACGTCCGCCATCATCAAAGTGGTCATGTTTTTGTCGCTCAATTGAGAAAATGCTGGTCGTTCCAAGTCAACTCGGAAATGTCAGTATAACACGATATAGCGGAAGTAACATTTAACTAGCCAGTTCAACCTTTGCATAATTAATTGGGGCTGTGTGTATGAATATTACTGAGGGGTAAGACAGATTGGACCTGAGTATGAGAACATCACATATGGGCTGCAGTCGATCGTGGCTGTGACCACAAGTTTGAAAAGAGAAAAGCAGAACTCTTGGCATATGATGCATGGATCAGACGACTTTGAACCCCTGGAAATCGACATCTACGCCATATGGGCCTGTGGACCCACATGCTTTGGCAGAAGGTTGACACGTTACACGGATTGAACTTTTTTTTTGTGTACGACAATAGATATTAATTACATGTGTTTATTCATTTGATCCAATGCATTTATTACATTGGCAATGAAGACAGTGAGAATGATACAGTGGAATAAGTCAAGAGAAGCCAGATAATACAGATTAGGGGGAAGATTAAAGGAAATAATACAAAAGCTATAAATAACAAAACAATGAAATGCAGATTTAGTGTTCATGCAATAATAGTCTCCAATTCAGTGCTGGGGGTTTCAGACATATGATAACTGCACCCGGCAAATGAAATACGCAACACGGGAAACGAGCAAGATGACGTGAGAAGGAATAAATAATACTCGACTCTCACATAACCTCACTTATTTCTCTTACACCCGCCAAAAATACCCAAATAGCCTCGTCATGTTCCTTCACCCGTATCATACCCCATCCTCGTCACAACATTCCGCCATAGTTTTCGATAAGAACTGCGTTTATTTTGTTGACCCAATCACTAGCAGTGCCATTAGGGTCTTCAAAATAATATGTTTTGCGTGGCTATCATTACGAGGAATTTTATAATATAAAGAATTAGTATGTGAGTTTATACAGACAAAATTACGCTTTAAGCAAGCGTCCCACCCATCGTCATATTCCCATTCCTCTTAATCTATCTTGTTTCTCTAAGCACCGCCACTCTTCAAATCATTCGCTCTCCTCCCCTTCCCTCCCCTCCCCCTCTCATACCGTATGCACAAAGAAATGTTTCTTATTCTTTAATTCCACAACCATCCTTGAACTCCAATATATCTCGCCCTTCTGTGTCATTTTCTCCTGATCAACATAAATCAATCTGGGAAAGTCCGTTAAAATAAGAAGTCGTCGTTTCGAAAAGAATCCTTTGCGTTTGTTGATAGGACCAGTACGAAGAATTAACTCAGTTCTTAACAGAAACGGAAGCCTTTGTTGTATGAAGATGTAGGAGAATAATTATTTGAACATGTTATGATTGTTTGAGCGTAGTACATCGGATGTAAAAATTTAGGAAAGAGACAAGTCGAGTAACATAGGATAAGAAAGTAAAGAAAGACGGAAGATGAGAAATAAAAATACAAATGAACACATGAATGCCAAATACAACTTATTGAATGTACTAATACAAAATAAACAAATGACGTCCATCACGCGTTTTTACATCTTCAATGTTCACCCAATTTTTTTATAATCCCTCCATCGCATTCTTCAATCAGCATTGTCATAAATAGATACAATACCATTGAGCTGAAGTCCTCTTCTGCTCTTCTAACTTTCCTGCTCTCTCTGGATCAATCTTCTCCGATCCATCCGTACTAGCCCAACTCTCCAATCTAAATGGATCTCGTGCTTCCAATCCTGATGCAACCGGACTGTTACCGTTATCTACACTAACATTTGAAATTTTTTCTTCGTAGATACTAGTATCGGTTCGGAGTTCCTCTTCGTGAGGCTTAGGGGGCAAATAAGGAAGAAGGCGAGGAGCTGGTTGCTGCCAGAGCGTGTCCCATCGAACCCCATCAAAAAATGGGTGAGACTTGAGCTGTTTTACTCCTTCCTTGCCACCGGCTCCTAGTCGTTCTGCTGGATTAAGGACCTTGTATTAAAAGTGTGAACGTTTAGTTAGAGAAAATTTAAGAAAAAGAAAGAGTTGCGCATCGATCTAGCAGTCGAATTCTGTATATATTATCCCATTTCTCCAAAACTTAAACTTCCTCATTTATTTCATACTTACTAATAGTTTTTTGACAAGATCTTTTGCAACGGGCGGAAACCCTTCTGGGAAGGTATAATCCAAGTGAACAATCTTCTGAAATGTCATATATTCGTTGCCTCCTTTAAAAGGAGGTCTACCTGCAATTAACTGGTACAAAATACAACCTAGTGCCCAAAAGTCGGAACTACGCGTATACAAAGTTGATAAATAAGACGACTACAAAAAAAATGACACAAAATAAGCGTCTAAATTTCATGACTGATTCTACCTCTTACAAGCAGCCTTTTCCTTGAGCAACTCTGGGCTAACATATTCTGCAGTTCCTACAAAGGAATTTGCACGATCGTCTATTATGTGGGAGACAAGATTAGCTATCTGTAAACATTGTTGACGACAAATTTTCTGACATAAGCTAATCAACCTGTTTCTCCGGCGACGTTTTTTCCCAATATTTTTGCGGTACCGAAATCGGTTACTTTAATATGCATCTTTTCGTCCAGCAGTATACTTATATGGGTAAGAAACGAAAAAAAAAAAATCAGCAAAACAAAGAGTCTATTTCACATTCTTAATAATCTTCTTTGACATACTTTTCCGGTTTTAGATCCCTGCAAAAAGAAAAGAATATATTAGTTATACGTGTACTCAGAAAAAAGGAAATATTATATATAATTACCTATGAATTACACCTTGGTCGTGCATGTATTCTATAGCCGCTAATATTTGTGACGTATAGTACCGCGTGCAATTCAAATCGAAAGAACCAAGCTATGACAATAATAATGAATAGTTAGCAAAAACTTTCAAATCAGTTGGAGGCACATTCAATAAGAACAAAATGGGTCTCCCAGACCAAGCAGAACGAGATACCTTCTTAATAAATGTCAGCAGTTCTCCATTTTTTGCATGATCTAGTACAAAGTCTATTTCAAAGTCAACACCAAGTCAAGGATGACATAAAATGATTGCAGAGAGTTGATTGCGTATAAGACTCATACACAAAAGGATACACAAGCTGTTATGATCCTGAAATGTAAAATACAAGCGGACAATCCCAGGATGATTCATTTTATTTAGAGTGTTCTTTTCGATATTGACATATTTAACTTTCTTCTCTTTAATAATGTGCTTCTTATCGAGAATCTTGATAGCATACTCTCGTCCCGTTGTGCGGTCTCTGGCAGCAACAACCTATAGATTAGAAAATAATAGGGATAAGCTTAATGATCAAGGCGATTTTAAATTGAATATCGTCGAATAGGAGAATTAGATTGTTTGAACTAACGAGAATAAACCGACTATTGAATGAACCAACGCATTCAAAGTACTTCGTATTTTTATGTTGTAGTAATTGGTCATTGAAGTTTCATTTTAATTTGATTTCCTAAAACATTTGAGTGATAATCATGTATTTATTATATTATGCTGGCTCGCTGTCGTTGTTGTTAACGTCTATAGAATATAGGCTATTGCAGTTCTAAGTCTATGTACAATATACACTTTCTGTAATCATTAGCTTTCCTGAGACTCGATTGAATTAATTCACTCATCTATTCGCGTTATCGCCATCCCGACTGCTCGTTCTCTCTACATACCGTAGAATATGAACCTTCACCGAGTGTTTTCCCGAGTTCAAAGTCCTTCACACCCTTTTTCTTCACCGATGAGTGGGTTGACGATGACCGTTGCTGAGAGTTGCTGCTGGTCTGGACGGCCGGGTCATCGGAACGTTGCGAAATGCCGTTTATCATCTTTGGAATGAGTGGAGTGCTTGCTGAGGACATTTTGCTGCCGTCTTATTGAAATGTAAAGTCGATAACGTGAATAAGATTTGACAAGAATGTTAGGACGGAGGCGTTTGGACTAGTATAGAAGTGCTTGAGACAGGCATGTGATATTAATATTCGATGCTAATTACGACTCAAAAGACTGTGAACTATGTAAGGTGCGTCAGTTCGGAAGTTGACTTGCATTGTGCTTGCCATCCGCAGCATGCAATCACAATTCAGGCGAATAAATAACAGGGGTTAAAAATCAATATTTGCCTCATTGAAAATCATGTGATCCATGGAACATTTATGTCCGTAATATTAATATTAACATACTGCATACTATAACGTGGTAAGTATAGTATTGTTGATTACTTGTTAGGGCGGGAAGTCTAAATTTAAACCTACTGATAAAAATAACTAAAGGAAATAAAGTAGTGTTTGTAAGTCAGTTTATATGTTTGTAGTATTAGTGTCCGTATATCATAAAGTTATTGGAGAATTTGATTGTAATGCAGAACCGAATTATTTAATCACGTTCATTATACTCTGAATGATGATTCGTTTATCGTCATAGTAATAGTCATGGAACCTATATCAGGAATATCCCTTCCTCTGCATTTTAGACGGCTCTTTTCGGATTTCCGAAAACGGGTCAATCCGTTTCAAGATTGTCACATAGTTTTTCGATGTTATCACATTAATTATGTGGTTTATTGGTGCAAAGATTTAATGTGACAATTCTAAATCCTAATACAAGTATCCCCCAGCATAGTACCACAGCTCCGTCTGAAAATAGCTGATAACAAAGTTCTGTTTCTCCCGTAATGCTGCGAAAAGTAACAGCGGAGTTTATTTTCTAACAACTACAAAAGGATATCACATTGGAAAATGTGATCCAATAACAATCCTCTGAACTATTATTCTCCTCTTATCTCTTGCTGATATTAAGAAAATTTCGCACACCACGTATTGGATTTCATACATTAAACGTAGGTTAGAACGTCGGAATGACAATTCTCACATATATACACGAATTTCGGAAGGCCCCAAAACGTTTAATGAAACAACGAATTTCTCATTTATGACGCCTACAACATCGAATCTGTAAATTGTAATCCTACAGCAAAGATCGGTTTCTTTATTGTATGCATATCACAAAGATGCTGTAAATCAAGTCTGTGATGGATGCGTGAAAGTGTCCAATTTCATGAATTACATAAAAAAAAACATTACTTTTTATGCTGAGAGACATTCGACATCAATGATGTCAACTTTCTATATTCTTTTCTCTCTAGAATGATAGTGACACAAGACTGTACATGACACAAGAATATCATAATACAACGAAGTGGTCCGTTCTGCCCTTTTTCTTCATTATACTGATAGTAGGTTTCCGTTGTATCCAGGAAATTTTATTAAGCAAAATTCGGGCATCAAAAAAAAAACATCGAGGTTTCATTATATCCAAGCTTCGTTATATCCAGGTTCACTGTGTACTATGATCAAACAAAGAATAGAGAATGATTAATTGAAAAGAAACTAGATGCTTATGAGAAAAAAGATAAACTAAAGCAATTAAGAGATTGACAAAAAAAGCAAAAACAAAAGTTAGTGAAAAAATCAATAACTCAAAAAAAATGTCAAGCAAAAATTTGACACTTTTATTTTACAAAGTAATATCAGTTGTGAAAAAATTAGAAGATAAAATCTTGAGAGAACAAAACCCATATTAATATTGTAATTACTGCGTGATTAGTGATGAACCAGTTCTTGATAATGTTACTCATAAATTAGTGACATACCTAATACCATGAAAGTGGTTCTACTGCAAATATTGGCTCTATTTGTGCTGATTGTAAAAAAACAATAATCTCTCTCATTGTGAGTTTTGTGGTAGACTACAAGAATAGGATTGGTTGTTATTGTAATCTATTACTATTGAAAGATGGGAAATTCAGAACTTCTTCCACAGAAGATGGGACATCCTAAACTATTAAATCTTGTCTAGCAAATAAAACCAAGAAACTTAAAAAACTGCCAAGGAAGAGCTGAACATCGAAAGTCAGAAGTAACTAAATTTCATAAAAATGAGGGGATAAAAAGATGAAAACAATTAAAGGATTGGAAACTGAAGTCACTAAGTTAAAAAAAACAAACAAACACTTAAAGAGCAACAAAATGATCAACTGGCTGCTCAAATCGAGGTTAAAGAAAAAAAACTAAAAAACGAGCTTGATTAAAATTGCGGAAGTAATTGTTATTTTTTCAAAATACTTCTAATGTGCTGTCATTTTTTTGTTCCATGGCGGATTTGATGTAAATTAGTTTCATATATTTAATATATATATATATATATATAATTATTTTATAGAGATAATCCCGTATTAAATGTGTTATAACTTTAAGTAGACATTATTATTATACTCTTTAATGCTATTTAGCTGTATAATAATGATGCAAGCCAAGATAAAGTTCCCAAATTGTGTACAATGATAGCCCACAGCTATGATAATAAATCAAGCAAAGCCTATCAAAATGTCATCAGCTAACTTGGTTTACTATTACCCCCAGCCATATTAGCTCACATAATCAAACATTCACTCTGTCTGCTTTTGTTGCAGCATCCCCTATATTATTATTATACTTAAATGTAACTTAAACAGCAACATGTAAGAAAATTTGTCTTTCATTTTGTTCTCAATTATGTATGCATTTATTTTGAGGAACAGAACACAGATTAAAGCATACAACTTTGATCACAAACTAAACTATAATCATAAATCATAATTGCAAAATGATAGGCTTTGAGTTTATTCATTATCATAAATACTGTCTAAGAGAAACTTCATGGCATCAAATGAACATACAGTAAATTGTACTTTGACAAGTCTCACTTGAACAAAAATGGCTTATAATTTTTTGCAACCAGTTTACTTTTAACAGAATGATTTCGGATTTATACATAAAGTATTATTATTATATGGGGCATGCTGCAACAACCAGACAAAGTAAACATTTTATTATGTGACATAAATAAGAGGCTGATTATGTGGCCGTCAAATTGACCAGTGTGACTGATGACATTGTAAAAAGTAATAATGAGCTTATTCATAACTTATGGAAACTTGTAAATTTAATGTTCCTCTTATTATACCAGAAGGTAATAAATATAAACCATAACAGAAGTAATATAGGTTATCTCTACATAAAAAATATTAATATAATAATAAAACTAATTTACATTAAATCCACCATGGAATCCAAGAATTATAGCACCATTAGAAGCATTCTAAAAAAGAGCAAGGAAAGAAAATTGCTCCATACGTTTTCAAAATTAATAATACCCAAACTCTCCAGATCAAAAAAAAAAATTTACTTGTGAAATTTATCAAGAGAAAAGGAAAATCATAAATACTAAACGAGCATTAATGCCAACACATAATGAACAAAGAAAGAAACAAAAACTTGAAGAAAGGTAAAGGGAAGCAGTTTAACGTAAAAGGCCTCCACTGATTGAACGACTTATAAACGAAGATTGTTCTTTATAGTCATGATAAAAAAGACTGCTTAAGCGCATCCGTTGAGCATTGACACAATAGCAATTAAAAATGTCGAACAACGTAAAAATATTTTGGTAAGCATAAATTTTATTAGTTTGATTATTAAGTGCGCGCTCTTGAGAATATAAATAATAATATTAAATGCACCAGAGTGATTGCATGGGAGGAAAATACTCGGACCCAAAGCCATTTATGAGTATAACCTATTCTTTGGTCACTCTGGTGCAAATTTAAATTTCATTATTTTTTTTTATTGCTACTATTAATAACATTATCACTATCGTCTATTTCTTTATTTCATCGTCTCCATCTGAGTAGTTTTTTCTTCGTCGATCCAACGTTGAATTACCTCAATGGTCTTTTTTCGCGGGGTTGTTCTTCGAAGATAAAAGCTTCGGATTGTGGAAGCTGCAACAGTTTTTTCTTCAAGTAATTTATAATTTTCAAACGGCATTTGATAGAATGAAATTTTGGATCCAATTTAGTTTTTCGTCGTATAATCGTTTCAGATCGTTCCACAATTTTTCGATTTCTGGCGAATAAGTTTTGATTGCTGTTATCAATTGTAATTTTTTAGCAGTCTTAGATAATGCGCCAGCACGATAGAGCTGACTATTACAAATTAGCCAGTTTACTAATAGACCAAGAACGAAATCAATTAACACTCCAAGGAAGAATTCGCTTGTAATGTGAACATTTTTCGCAAAGCGTTATTGATGAAAGATGTTTGGTTCGTCTTATTTATTGAGTTGCGGTTGATTTTTTTGAACGCGACGACTAGTGCTGATTTTATAATAAAATCTTGCGATGATGCTTAAATGGACAAATGCGCGTTGTCGTGCATCAATTATCATTGTCACACTCAAATCGCGAAAGATTTACGTAATACTTTTAAGCCACTGATCAGTTTTAGTATCGCGCGGCACATCTTCCTTAACGAAAAAAAAAAGAAATGACTACCGAACAAAAGTTGACGAAGGCAGAAAGGGCGTTGGAGGCGTTTGAGGAAAAGGAGGAAAGTCTCTGGAACAGTTGAGGGAGAAGGTGCTGAATGAAGTGTTAAACACGGTGCTGCAGCAGCTGTGGCAGACGCTGGAGGCGGAGAAGAAGCAGCCGGAGGCAGAAGTGAGAGAGTGGGGAGCGAAGCTCCGTGAGCTTACTCAGCCTTGTGACTCGGGCGTTGGATAGAGTAGACATAGTAATAGGTCTTCTTTCACAATAACGTCTGTTGTAATCGCTGTTTTTCCCACATACAAGTGTTGCTCAAATAATCTACTGATCTCTTTCAATCCCTATCAGATTCCCAGATTGCCAAACAAATAAAGAGCAGGTTAGAGGATTAACAGTGAAGACTATTCGTTTTTGTCCGAACTGTCAGGAGAAGAAAAAAGGAGTCTCAATGAAATTTTTAAGAAATTAAGCAAACCCAATGATAACTGGAGTGATGAACTTGGAGAAGTGGAACCATTGCAGTGGTGCTATGAAGAGTTGGCAGCAATCTGAGGTCTAGTTGTCAATTGGGACAATCGACATGGTGGCAAGGAAGGTGAAATTTATGGAGATCACAATCTAACGTTCAAAGAATGGTCAGACAGCTGTAGCACTACTAGCAAGACCATAGATTTCACAAAGTGTTGGACATTTGAAGATAAGCAGGGCTGGTAAGACTCTCTTACTTTAGAGGCAATTAGACAGTGCCATAGATACTGTTCATGTTTCTTCAGCATTAAGCATAATAGGATCAATGCTATGTGTCGATCATCACACCTGGATGCCACAAACAAGATGGATCTTATGGACAACCACTACACGTTGTCCAAGCTAAGGGAGTTAGGGTTAGGGACTGCAACACTCGCAACACTCGATTGGGCTACAACTGTGGATTATGCTAACAATTTGGTTTCACCACCCAACCTACCCAAAAAACGTGCCCCCTCAATGCCACCAGGAAGTTCTATAGTAACCTTGAACCTGAATTCCCAGTGTGTTAGGTTCATCATCGCTTTAAAACCCATGAGGTGGTAATCATTATTCCACTTGCATTAATATTTGCATTTAGTAATCAGTAATTTTAATCAGTAATTTGTGTCATAGAGCACTGTACATATGTAATTATGTGGGTGTGATAGTCTTGAATAGCTAGCTTTTGAGATCAGTACTATAGTACAGTATAAATATTAAAATAAATGCATGTCCCTTTCAAACCTATTTCAAATGATAAACTAATATATAGGACCCGTATATGAAAAATTATAATTATAACGGTTCCGCCGAGTACGAAAAAGCAACGCGTTTCTTGGAGATAGGTTGCAAATGTGGTTGTTCAAACCGAATTCCAAAAAAAAAGTTTGCTGAACAAGATATTTTCTTAATGGCCCAACTGAAAGCAATGAAAGGAGGAGAAATAACTGCCAGCCGACGTCTTAAAAAAAACGCATACTAATAAAAGAACTTTTTACTACGAGATCGCAATACGCCACTCTGTCAGCAAACGTATCTCAATATGTTGGGAATTGGTCGCACTCATTTCGAAAACGTCTCGCGACGAATGGTACAATACCGCGTGTAAAACGAGTGCCACGACGGAAACCAAATTAACCATTGATATAGACGTTGCTACCACCGTGAAGAATTTTCTCGAAAACTATGCTGAAAACCAAGTTTTGGTAGAAACGTCAACCGAATTACTCAATTGCTTACACTTTTGCCGGCTAAAACGAGTTATAATCGGACTATCGTGGTTTTGAAAATAATAGCACACTGAAACTGTTAAAATATGACGCATTCCGCAAGTTATGACACTAACTAACGCCTTATATTCAAATAATGAGTCCATGAACGGATTTATGTGACACGTGCCAACATTTTCGGAATGGCTACAGTATAATGCTCGTAAGGAAGAAGAGGCGAGAAACTTACCAAAAAAATATAAAGAACATTTAGTTAAGACTAAATTAGAGAGAAACTATTACAACAAAAATACGAAGTTAGCAGAACAACAGAGAAAATTGGTAAACGAACGTTTTATAACAAGAGGTAAAGCTGATTATTGTAGTGTTGACGCGACTGCGCATTACAGTTATGATTGGGCACAAAACGTTCACGTGCCCATTCCGATAGGCAAGCAAAATTTATTATCTCAGTCCGCGTAAGTGCATTCAAGATGAAGCAGTACGCGAACAATAATTATGTTATCGATGAAGACAGAATTATTGGCAAAGGCCCTAATGGCACACTGAGCATGGTATTTGATGGAATTAAGAAATTGGATAAAGGTGAAAAGCGTTTAAAGATCACTTGCGATAATACTAGAATACGTCCCAAAATTAGAGACATTTCTGTAGTGTATTGACAAACACCGAGTAACTAGCTACCGCGTTACGGTTAGTGGTTGTGAAGTAATGTCTTTCCTCGATCGTCCTGAATAAGGTTGGGACATATTCCGTGTTGAACCTTTATTTCTGAATCAAGCAAATTAGTCCATTAAAATATCTTCCATAATTAATCTGAGTTTAGCATTAAATCTCATAACATGTTAACAATTTGTTTATTGAAAGTTACTCGTTACAAATAGTCTTTAGACGCGACAAACAACGCATTTTTACTAATATATTTATCAAAATCCTATAGTTTTGTTTTAGACGCAAAACCACCTAATCTTGGAAAGGGATAGTCTTGTAGGGCTTGATTATCCGTGTGGCGTGAGTGTATGATAATAATAAATCTCCTGTTTATAGAAAAATATTGTGAGTGTATGAGAATTTTGTAGTTAGCAATATCAGCAATAGAACAAAGTAGTTACAGAAAAATAACACGGCGTATTCCCATGTTATTTATGTTAACTCTATCCATTTTTTTCGTGCCGCATTAATAAACAAACTTTATTTCAAACATCAGCAAATAAGGAAATTTTCCCGTCAAGAGACGAGACAAATATGTCTACATCATAAACTGTAAAGAATCATGATGAGCAGTCAAGCCTTTCGACCTAGTATTACGTTTTTTGTAACTAATTTCTAGTTACTGCAGATTATTAATCCCATATTTTTATTATGTCAATTTTTATTGCTACTGTCAGTTCCACTATTTCCGCGTCAAAGCCTTTTTGTGGTCATTCGAGACCATCTTGTGGCGACCATTTCCCGCGCTGATCTTTCTTCTATTATATTCACTTTTAGAACACACAGGTTCAACAAAGTGCGCTTGCTTCGTTAATACTTTTTTACATAACCATCACGTGATTATCTATCCATGGTAGGACAAAAACCGATCAGATTATTACCAGACGGTCCCTTACATATTATATCGCCATTTCACCATGCCAAGTGATGTGACTCGCCCGATTTCCCAGGACAGCGTACAAGATACGGTTCTGGTGCCTCCTTTAAACTTTGCTATAGTATCTCCTGGAGTATATCGATCAGGACACCCCAACAGACAAAACTTTCCTTTTCTCAAAAAGTTGGGTCTCAAGACAATAATGTGAGACAATAAACTTGCTTTTGCGCATGAACGAATTCGAGTTCACACGCACACATTAGAATGTGGAATTAATCAATTGGTTTAGGTACATGTCATCCGATGACTTTAACGAAGAACTGCATCAGTTTGTAACCGAACAGGGAATTCAAGTATTTCATTATAAATTAGCGAGGAACAAGGTAATGTGCTAACTTGTAATAGGTTCAGACACACTTGTAATGATTCACAAGAACAAATACTGCGAGTTGCTAACCCAAACCTTAGGAACCATTCGTTGAGATCGAACAAAAGGATATCAGCAGTGCGTTAGTAAAAGTGCTCGGTTAGTGAAAGCTTTTTCTTTACCCAAATTCGGACAAAAGTTTCTAATTTTAGGGGTTGACAATAAAAAGTAACACGATACAAGCTTGATGCAGATACACGCAACCATCCAGTCCTAATTCACTGTAATAAAGGCAAACACAGGATAGGTTGCCTTATAGGTTGTCTAAGAAAATTACAAAGATGGTCAATGACCTCTATATTTGACGAATATCGGCGGTTTGCAGGAACGAAAGTCCTTGCTGATCAGGAAGTAAGTAAATAATAGTTAAACAAAGGTTTTTTCTCGACCGACATTCCATTGTTAACTCATTCCATTAATCACGCGCGCTTTGTGTGCACAAAGTTTATTGAGATATTTTCTGAGCCTGTTCCGTATGATCCAAGGCATAAACCGGAATGGTTGTAAGAGTGTGTCAGGCCACCAATTTGTCGGACTTTTCGAAATACGCCGTGGAGCAATAATTAACCTCAAGTTATAATTAGTGAAAGTTTGATCAACACGCGTGATACATTCGAATTTAATCAGATTAAATTCGACATGCATGTAGATTGTCCAATGTCTTATGTTGCAAATACATATACAGCATGATGCAGCACATGCATAAGAAATACTATTTATAAATGGATAACCAGTAGAAGTAAATGCCCGCCCTGCTTTGCATGGCAGTGGCTTGCAGATTGGTTTATCTTAAATGGGTCATATAGCCGTAGCTCATTCATTGGCGTTACGGATACTTTGCGGGTCGCTACAACATTGGAAAAGTGGCGCAAATGTCACATTTTTTATTAATCTCTATTTTTTGTGTCCTCATTAAGCACAGCCAAGGCGAAACCTTAGAGCCGTTTAATAAATGATCTACGTACATGATTGCATGCCTTTAATCGGTGTTGTTGACAGTAATAATATACAGAGCGAGTTGAAGGAAGTGTGTTTGTAATGCAAGTCTATATCTTCTAACTATTAGTAAATATTAGAAAAATTATTCTTATAAGTGTCCATTAGTCACAAATTAAATTACGATTTCCTCTGCATCTCAATATTCTCGACATTCTCGACAATAGTACTACTTGACGTACTCATTCTTTGTATCTGATGAGCCAACGTCTCACCTACATCTAACTGCATATCACTATTATGTCGAGATGATCGGTTCGCCGCATTCGGTGACCATCCCGCTCCGACTGATGTAGCGACTAAACTAGGAACCATGGCTGCTGCAGCAAACGCATCTGATCTCTTGGCTGCGCGCTCTTTATCGTGTCCAATATGCAACCTGGACGCGCGTAGTCTACCACCACGAATTGTTTTAAAGACGAATAATTTCTGTCTTACGTTAGCAATAGCAGGATTCCATTCTTCCTTGCCAAGTCCAAATGTATCAGACCGTTTAGCTAGCGTACCCGTTCCTGTCTTCTTTCCAGGGATTTTCAAACCAGCTATTAAGCGTCGTAATGGTGCGTTAGGAATTAATCGTATTATCACTCCGATCGGGATAGATATAAATCCTAAACCTAGAGAAATAGCCCATTGTACTCCATTTAATCTAGTCACTTGGAATGCAGCTCCGCCAAAGTTAACAATCATTGCTTGTCCGCCCACCATCACAACGAATATAAACAGAAAGAATCGATTGGCCAAAATTCCCTTGAATATGTTCAGTTTGTTGTCTAATCGGCGGCAGTTAATTTCGTTGAATATTTGAAAGAACACAAAAGTATTAAAAATTAGAGTTTGCAATTGATCGGCCCCGTACTGTAACAATGATTCTCCTCCGTATAGCAGAAGAAGAGTAACAGCTAATTGAACTATGCTCTGTCCAATAATCATTTTCCACATGTCAAATGAAATCAGCGGTGCAGTACGTGGTTCAGGTTTCCTATCAAGTAAATCGAGCGTGGGAGGGTCGGTCGCAAGAGCCAGAGCTGCAAAAGTGTCCATAATTAGATTAACCCATAGCAATTGCACTGCTTTTAACACAGATTTTTCCTCGTCGCTGCTTACTGCAGAAATAAAGGTCAATAGCACGGCCGTTACGTTAACAGTCAATTGGAATTGGAGGAACTTTTTGACGGCATCATTTACACTTCTTCCCCACATTATGGCTTTAACAATACTCGAAAAGTTATCGTCCATCAATATAATCGCCGACGCTTCTTTGGCTACTTCTGTCCCAGCAATACCCATAGAGAACCCGACGTCGGCGGTCTTCAGTGCAGGACCGTCGTTAGTACCGTCTCCAGTCACAGCAACAATTTCGCCTAATTCTTTTAGTCTGCTAACGAGTATTCTCTTATCCTCGGGACTAGAACGAGCGAGTACTTGTAGATTTGGAATAATAGCGTCCCTCTCGGCAGTCGGTAGATTCCTAAATACAGGTCCTTCCATTATCTTCCCACCCGTATATATTCCACATTGAGTAGCGATTGACTTGGCAGTCAATATATTATCACCCGTTACCATCCGTACGTATACACCGGCCTTTTTACAATTAAGCACCGCCTCCCTAACTCCTTCTCTCAGCGGATCCTCTATACCAAAGATTCCAATGAGCGTGATATCGTCAAACAAATGCTCAAATGCCTTATTTTCATTAGAAGTGTTCATATTTGCCGGAGGCCATTCTTCAAAGTCGCGATAACACATAGCGATAGTGCGTAAAGATTGACTGGCATAGTACGTAATCATGTTTTTCAGCGTGTCCAAACTTTCCTGCGTCAAATCTTTTGCATGTGGAGAGAATGATGACGGGTTTTCCGTATTCGACTCAATGTCTATTATGTATCGGGATTTGCTGACGAGAACTTCACTTGCACCTTTAACGTAGAAACGCCATTTTGTTGAAGAGATTTTGACTACCACTCCCATCGCTTTGCGATCAGAATTGAACGGAAAAAGTTGTACTATTTGAGCATCCTCGCGTAATTTTTTATATTCCTTCAAGCCCAGCTCCATTAAAAGTTCAAGTAAAGCAGTCTCTGTCTTTGATCCGACAAAAGTAATCTTTCCGTCACTATTCGTTTCTCCCTCGAATGCAGTAGAGTTAATTGCAATTGATTCTTCAAGTACGCGTGTAACATTCTTGGGAAGTGTTCTAGTCAAATCGGTTATGGCCATCGGATTCTCTAGTTGCTTGATGGATAGTGTAGATGGTCCGTTCTTGAGTGATTGCGAATGTGCTACGGGATCCTTTACAAACGAGACCGATTGGCTAATTGTGCCGGCGACGACCGTCATCTTGTTTTGAGTGAGGGTGCCCGTCTTGTCTGAACATATTGTTGTAGCATTACCCATGGTTTCGCAGGCCGAGAGAACGCGGACGAGATTGTTGTCTTTCAGCATACGAGTTGTAGCAAACGCGAGAGCTTACGAGAATAAAAACGGTACGAATAAGTGTACGTCAAAATATGAAATTGTACATAAAGACTGCATCACAAAACTAACTATGGTTACTCACCTAGTGTAACAGCCAATGGTAATCCTTCAGGTACAGCCACGACAACGACAGTAACAGTCGATATTACAATTCGCGTCAGAGATTCAACAACTGTCGTAGCCGCGGGCACGCCGTCTTTAAAGGCGACGAAATACTTGATCAACAATACAATAAACATTAACAATGCTGCTGCTCCTCCCAATTTTGCTATTTTTTCTGCAAGATCATTTAACTTCTCCTGTAACGGTGTATCTTCCGGTTCACTTCTGAGGGACATCATAGTACGCCCGTGATATGAATTAATTCCTACTGCTGTGACAATGTACGTACCGACACCTTCGAGTACTTTACTGCCACTTATGATGAATGGGTCTGCCTTTACATCCGAATCTATGCAATCCTCGTATTTTAATTTTCGAATAGCGTCACTTTCTCCAGTGGCGGCTGATTCGTCGCATTTGAGATTATGACCACTGACCAATATTCCATCAACAGCAATAATATCGCCAGGTTCCAACTGTAACAAATCGCCTACTAGGATTTTGTGCACTGATAACAGCTGCTCTTTACCATCTCTAATAACTTTAACGTCTCTATCCTCTTTCTTTGCGTTCAGTTTTTGAAATTGTTTTTCTTTCTGCCAATCGTTTACACTGCCGACCATAATCACGATAAATATAGCCACGATGATTGCTACTCCTTCAACCCAACTTACCTTTGGTTGTTGTACTCCATCAGGAGTGCTTGCATGTTTGACTCCGAAATCTTCGTACAACCCTAACCCAAGGGATACAACAGCAGCAATGGCGAGTAAAATTAATATCTTATCTTGCATGGCTATCCACATTAGTGCAAATATTGATTTTGGTTTACGGGTGGGAAGGACATTGACACCAAATGCACTTATTCGTTGCGCAAAAGGGGTGGTCAATGTCGTAGTAAATGTATGTTTCTTAGCATATGATAGTTCTTTTCCAGATATCTCTTCTAATGTAATGGGTTCTAATGGTGCTATTTCGTCATTTGATATTCCGGCATGAAGGTCAGTGTGAAGTCCTTTCACAATTCCATCGACTCCCCCCAAATTTTTTAAATGTGTTATGTCTTTCGGGTCTAGGAGAGATGATAGTTGGGTAGTAGTAAAAGCGAAAGGGGAGTTTTCCGTTGAGTCGTTTGATATGCTGTCTTCTTGGAAGTCTATGGGATTTAGTTGAGTAGTCGATGTATTTGAGTATTGTGTCTGTCCATCTGAAGCCACCTCTAGTTCTATTGTATTTGAAGTGTGAGTGTCTGTGCCTAATGTAATAGTGCGATCCGTATTAGTATCAACAGTCTCTATAATTATAGAAATATCCTCGTTCCCAGTGTGAACTATGATAGTATTGTCGCCTGTTTGGAGATTGCCACCTGTTTGCAGATTGCCATCGCTCATCTTTCTAGTATAATATAGTCTCTACAGGTGGAGAAAGAGGCGATATATGCCCGGCAGAAATTTTGAGACACAACTTTCATGTGTGGAGATATATATATAAATATATTGTGTAACCCCTCGGTTTTTAACGTTTGTCAAAAGCCTTTGTCGCCATTCCGAACCGGGTAACGTTTTTTTGGCAATGACGTATTAGTGGCGTTAATAGACCGCAGACATAGACGTAGCCACTACGCTATTATGTTCTTCCCTCTATCGTCTGTCGGCAAAACTTTCCGACTTTACATCATTGTTGCTTACGTATAATCATACTAACAAGTTGGTTTTTATTGTATAATTTTACAGTAATTTACAATAATTCATTATTATTTTACCATTTACTCTTAAATGTATAATATTATTCTACAAGCAAGTTTACAAATTATTGTCAAGTTTAAAGCATATGATATAACAATACCAGGACCTATGACACAAGTTACATGTATGTTTCAGCTTTCAACGTGACAGGTTTCCCCTTCCAAGCTCAATATCAATTTTCATCTCTCAGAGAGCATTCGCCATAGACCTCATATAAACTCCTAAAATGACAATGGAAACCACGTATGCTTTTCCTTTTTGTGGCAGTATAATAAGCAAAAACCAGTAAGCGGAAAAGTCTGGGAATGCTACTTTAGTTATTCTTTTCACATTTCAGGTGGAAATACGACAATATCATTAAATTTTATAATTGTTTATATTAAAGAATTACCATATTAAGAAATAAATATCCGATAATTTTTCATACTTCTACTGTCAGTTCTATTAAAGAACGCTTTACGGCTTGTGATCGAATATATACATAGTCAACTCGATAAGGAAACAACATAACTATCGCGAGGAACTTTTAAGGAACAACATAACAGTGCACGTATGAAACCCCACACGCAATATTCTAATTATAACTCGCGCATCTGCGGAGTTCGTTTGTTTCACTAAATTGTCTTTGCTTATTTGCTAACAATGGGAATTCTGTTATACAAAAACTGTCGGACATTGTTTGTTTTCTACAATTGATATGACTAATGCAAACTTCGCCACACAATAAAAGAAATAATGTAGCGTTCATTGCTTGATAATACAACATAAGAATTTCTACATCGACATGTTAACACGTACAGCAAAATAATTATAGGATTTTCAGCCCCTATTGTATTGCATACAGCAAACATTTATTTTTAGTGAACTGCGCTACAAGAGATTATTCCGACAGTGAAAGTTGTATCATACTTGCTGGCAGATCTCGAACTGTTGCGTTTGCTTTTCTATACAGTATTTTCTTTATGACTTTCTCGAAAGTTTCGCAACCTATTTTTATTGATAGGTACCACTGATGAATAAAAGCCTAAGATGCAACTTTTGAACGAACCATATTTGTAACCCGTTTCCTGATATTAATCTACACAACGAACGCAATCGATTTGTGGTCGTTCGGATCCACGGTTATTTTTTCATTTGTTTAATTCCGAGAACATTCGACGACTGTTTGATTTGCAAATTGGATAATTTCGCAAAGTGTTCATTGGTATCGTCTGGCTGATAGTTTACGTTCACATTGGTTTTCTCCGATGCTTATAGATATCTTTAATTTCTTCCCGTCTCACTATAGTCTTTCTTAATTTACTACGGCATTTACTTATTCCGGATCTATTAACGAGAATGACATTTATGCTCCTTTAGTTGATTATTAATGTTACGTTTTTATTTCAGGACTGTATACTATTACAAGTCTGGTCAGCCTGAATTTTAATAAATCGATTAACTTGAAGATATTCACAGCAATTATTATAGATTCTTTATTCAATTTCTAGATGCATTATAGATCCAAATCAGGTCAAACCAGATGCTCATTATATAGAATTAACTTGTATATACAAAAGTAGCAATATAGATTTTTTGTTCTACTATGGTTAAATAACAGTGTCGTTATATCGAGGCCATGGAAACAAGGATAACATACGGTTCATTTTCTATTGTACAAAGATTATTAGTATGCATGGTACACGTGCCTCAAATGTTTTACAATGATAAGATCTGTCACTTTCCATATTAAGAGTCTAAATAATGAATAAAACCAATCAATTCATGCCAAGACTTACATATCGGTCTTTCTCAATAAAACAGCCGAATGACCGTCGGGTTTAATATTAAAAATACCTTACGCTCTCGTTGTCGGTTAAACCTGAATCCAAATATAATAACATACGTAAGGTGACTTTTTTTTTGGTCAATTGCAAATGCTCGCATGTGATAAATTAACAAATGGTTTCGCACGAAATAAAAGGCGGTTACTTTATAATTTAAGGAATTATTATTGTCACATCTGTACTACGCTTTTGTGTATTCGTAATAATAATAATATTCGAAAAATAGCTTAATGCTTTTCTATAGTAGTAGTGACTGAAAAATAACGAAAGCGGATCTAATCAAAATTCAAGAATAAAATAACCATTATCTCAATGTCTGTAGATAAGTGTATCGCGTTACCACTATTTGGTTTTCGGCAATGTTATAAAATTTGTTCTTTTACCAAAATGGATGTGTTAATATTATCACTTGCCTCATTTATTGCAATGACGATTTCATTATGAAAAAATAGCATTAGAATCTCAAAAATACAATTAAAATTATCATAAAATATAACAGGTAGTTGAATACAACGTACGTATTATCCAATTCTTCTTGACATTGTATGAATTACCTTCGACACCTCACAAAGAATGCGTTCTTACATTCCCAGCTACTGTCGGGAAGATACTTGTCATAGAAATTGACTATAAACTCTTCGGGTTTAAATCCGAACGTCTGGTAAAGGATCTGTACATTATAATACTTCGTTAGCCAACATAATAAAGACACGTTTCCCTCTAGACCCATCTCATCACGCACCATGGCATTGTTATTAGCTGACACATGCAATGTGACATCCTTCTTTCCTTTGCACTTTTGAATTAGCCAGTATAACATAAATTTCCCAATCCCGCTCTTCTCCCATCCGGCTGAAACAGCCAGGTAGGTAACATATCCCGCAGGGGTCACGAATCCACATCCAATCACTAGTCTCTTATATAGCGCAATAATGCTAAACTCTGGATACTGTAAATTTTCACTGACATCAATACCCGGCCAGAACACTCGTTGTAGTAATTCATTTACTTGGAGCAAATGTGCCGGTTGGAAATAACAAAAGTCTATTGGGCTAGAAAGTGGTGGAGAGGACGAGCGTTTGTCGCGATGAGGGTACGTGAGAATGGAATGCAGGAGAAGAAGTTTAGGCGGGCGCGTCCAATAATCACGGAATACATATGGTGGAAGGGGAGTTGAAGTATACGTAGAAAGCAGGAGAGACGGGTTTGTCAGCGCACGCCAATAGTATGGTATTCCATGTATTCTGGATGCAAAAGATGTTAGATATCGTGAAAGAGGCCTCTTGACACTTTTGGTTCCGTTAAGACTAGATTCAATTTCACTGCGTTCTGTAGAAGCAGCGTTGACACTGTCTGAATCCTGCAAGACAGGAGATCCTTCTGAGCGAGACGAATCGTCCTCTTGTCGTTGCGATGTATCTTGGGATGTAGACAAAGGCGAGGAGAGCGATGATGAATTCGGCTGCGGTGCCTGGGATGTGATTGGAACCAAATCTACTCCCGATCGCATATGGTTATGTATCCATATGTCAATGTCAAAGATTGGTAATTGAACTGCGCGTTTGGACTGAAGAAAGGGTGCGTAAATTCGTGAATTTGTATGATCGTATAAATCATGCGAATATGCATCCATGGGTTTCATCTTACCTCTCTCAGCAACAACTTCCTCTTCAGTCTTGCTGCTTTTGCGCTTAATTGCTTCTTCGTGGTGCACAACACCGATCTCAGCTGCGACTCCTTCAACGGGTCTAAAGGAACTAGGCCCGTTTTTCCTTCGCATTTCTTCTTACCATTAGCATAAGCGGGAGCGCTCGATTGTGAAGCATCTGTTGGTTGCAAAGGTTGTTCGCATCGTTTCTTCAAGATAAGACGTAACCGGGGAACCTTTGTCTCGATGTGTGTCGGTGAATGAGGTGCGAGATTTGAATGCACCATTTGAGTTGCTTGTGTGTGTGAAGTGGTTGTTGCGTATTTCTATAGAAACAAGGATAAATGTTTGTGTATTATGCTTCGTGTGTGAAACACCGGCTATGACAAAGATCAATATTAAAGTATACTAATAACCTTTGGTCTTCCTCTGCCTTTTTTAACTACATCAGGTTTGGCTGTCTTGACCTTCTTTTTCTCCGATTCCGTTAACGTTACATCTCTGGACTTTCTTTTTGCATTATTTTGTGCGACTTGCTTCGCATGATTAGTCAATTGGACGGTCATAGCATTATCGTTACATGATGGTTCGCTAGAATCAAGTTCAGTGTTTAACTGATTGGTAACTTCGCGACTATGCTTGTCAACCGAAATTTCGCTAGACTTCTGTCTTTTGCGTTTATGCACCACATCGCTATTCTTTCCGTTTATTATCTCTTTCGTCATATCGTTGTTTATACCCTCATTTACATTCTCGTCACCGCCATGTAAGTGTCCATGTATTTTACAGTTTTTTGCGTCCTGTCTAAAGTCTTTTTTATCAGCAACAGCTTGTCTCTCTATTCGCAGTCTACCAGCTCTGGTAGTTCTTCCTTTGGATAGTAATAAATCCTCTTTCTCTCTTAGTTCTTGTCTTGTTTGCCATAATTCTGGAAAGCATTTAGAAGGCGTGAATACATCTTCAAATGTTCTTTTTTTGCTTGGTATAGGAGGATCTGAGAGAATCTGTTTAAATACGTGTGATAGAATGGATTGGCGTTCTTTGCCTCGTGTCGTTGTCATAGAGATCGAGTTTTGGGAGGCTTAAATAACCGTGCGTGCATTTACCTTAATTGAAAAAAAAAAAGTCGCTTCTACTGATCGTTAATTCACGTGATCCAGTCACATTTGCTAAATCGAAGTAAAAGCGTCGTTCTGTTATACCACTCGAATTTATAACAAAAGCCGAGTTAAAATATTTTACGAGCACATCATCGTAGCAACTGATCATTACATTTTGCGTTTCAATGAGAGAAAGCCTAATACTGATAAAATTATGTTACAAGAAACTTATTATTTGCGAATTTGCCAAACTGGTGTGTAACCAGTAACGGTTTTCTAACATTGTACTACTGCGAAGAACCAGGATTTCTGATTGACACAGACAGTTAATAGTAATACGAGTAATCCTTGAAGATTAATAAGCCGGGTTTGCACGGTTACACATGATAATAACCTCAAATTTGCTTAGTAATTTTGTGACTAATCAAATGTTTTGGTGAGAAGATATAATAATTCCGCCAACCATGGCGAGCTCCCATAAACCGTTTGGCTTTTTTGTTTTCGATGGCAACTTTAATGCGTGCAGTTAGGTTCCACAAAATAGGTGATGTCAATAATCTGGCAGTAGATTTGATTCCTTTACCAAAACGACAACCAAATGAATTATTGATTAAGATTGACGCATCGGCGGTGAATCCGGTAAAAATTCCAAATTTGATTGACATTGTTGCCGCGAACGCATACTTTCTACTATGCAATGATCAAAGTAACCGTCCTCATAATTTTAGAGTGACTACAAGAATGTCGAAGGTCTCTTTCCATTTACCACTACTCCTCGTGTACCAGGACGCGATTACTGTGGCACAGTTGTAGAGGGTCCGCCAGAGTGGATGGGAAAAGTAGTAGTTGGAACTGGTGGCAAGAACGGATTTATTGAAGACGGGTCACATGCAGAGTATGTTAATGTATTGTTGATTGATGTGACATTAAAAAAATATTGATAATTACATGGGACTTTGCAGATACATTACCGCGCAGTCAGATGCGGTTAGTCTGAAACCTACGAACTTGTCTGTAGCCGAGGCTGCGTCTATTGGCATTGGATTTTTGACAGCTTACGTTGCTTTAGTGAACTCAGCCAACGTGCAAGAAGGAGAAAATATTCTTGTTCTCGGTGAGCATTTTGACTACTACAAATGAATATATTGTATTTATACATTACGAGTCTTGATTACTCAATCTGTATATATTACCATCGGCCCGGTAGGCTCAAGGGGTGCAGTAGGTCAAGCGGCCATACAGATAACTCGTTTCATGAAGGCTCGTCCAATTGGTCTGGTATCTAAGAACCCACCCAAAGATCAGGCGGATGTTGTTGATACATCCGTAGATGATGTCAAGCAGAAGGTGCTTGCATTGACCAATGGAGTTGGTGCCGATGTCATTATTGATACTGTTGGGAATCAGGAATTATTTGAAAAGGTTTGAGCAGTTGGAGACAATTACCGTGAATCCAAGAAGAATTTTTTTTAATATGCACAGTTAAAATTAATATGTAAATGTTGAGGCAGGCAATCGGTGCTCTGCGCGTCCGTGGGCGATATGTTACGATGTCTGTTCAAGGGAATTTGACTAGAACAATTAATGCATTAGACTTTTATCGGTGAGCCTTACGTTACGAATAAATAACTGATAGATATTAATAATGTCAGTTAGTTATACCAGACACCGACTAACATTGTCACGAAATTTACTTTTATAGTCGTGAACTGCGTCTTATAGGGTTAAATACTCTCAACTACAGTAAACAAGAAGCTGCTGCTATTCTAGATGTTTTGCGGTGCGTAAATATTGTAATTCATATTACATATTACAGTCAGATTGTTATTCTTTTCTTGGAGAAAGACCTATTATTTATTAAATTTTTTATACCCTGACAGACCAGGATTTGAAAGGTAAAATCTCATTATTCAAATATTTAACTGTCTTTTTCTCTCCTATTAACAAAATTTCTCCAACTTGCAGTGGTATATTGATGGCTCCGAGTATCGGCATGGAATATCCGCTTGAATCATGTGTTGATGCGTACAATGCTGTCAAACGAGGATCATCCAAAATTGTTCTTGTACCATAAAGTGATGGTAAAGATAAAATAAATAGAAAGTATTAACGTTCCGATTTTTCGCATTAATAAGTTGTGCATACGAGTTTGATTCACTAAAAATCTTACATTAACGTAAATACGACAGAGCAATGACATCTGAAAATCTTAAATTTCCCGGTATCATTGTTACCGCCAGCAACACTTTCGTGTTGTCCAGTATATGTTTTAGAACGTGGTAATTTTCGACATTGGACGTTAATGACGACTGACTCAATTGTTACTTCGGTTTTATAAATGCAAACTTACATGATAATTTCTTCGTTCATCCCATTCCATCAATAATGTATCTTAATCGCAACTATCTATAACTTCTTTTGTCAGAACGTCTTTTGACATCTAATGGATTGAACGAATTTTTGTAATGCTGGAGCGAGAACAATATCTACAATATTAACGAAAATTTCATTGTCGAAGGAATCCACTAAGTGGGAATAATTTAAGGTTAAAAATTTACAGTCAGAACTCGGTTTAAACATGTTTCCAGCATTAGTAATGTACGTTTTGGTGTGCATGCTTAGGAAAGAGAATGCTTCTTATAAATATAAAAACAATACTGTAACCACCAGAATAGTCTTCCGCCAAAACAGGAGTATTTACCCAGCATTAAAAATCACATTCTTTCAAATTTATCGTACCTCTAATCTTGCAGGATCCTTTGCTATTTGGTCTTTTTTAGGATTTTAAATTATAATTATTTATGTATTAGATTTCTTTTCCGGAGGAAAATCCAAGCTCCACACATGTATTGAAATTACTTTATATTAGAAGCAAAGTCTGCTATGTAACGTCGTAAGCGTAGTCAATTACCGGTTTAAGTCGGTCGCTATTTGACAAAGTAAATTAAGAACCGGTTTTTGATTTCACAGTTAATCAACGCATCTTCCGGTTTACGTTTGTCGCGTATGAGCATATTGCAAAGAATATCATGATCCGCCAGCCAATCACGTTCATCGAGTTATACGTGATGTCGAGTTGCAAGAGACAATTCTGCAATTGACGACTTGGTAGTAGCGAAAAATGTACACCAACCTCCGTGAGTGCATTTGTTAGAATATACTAACTTCCCGACACACAAATACGATAAGGATGACAATAACTTTAAAAGATATTCAAAACGGCTCAAGAAGCGCAACGGATCCATATTTGGATTTACCGAATGTGATAGTAACTATTACATGGCTGCTGATAAATTTTTTTACAAATACTATTCTCGATATGGATTCTGCACCGCATGCGGGCATCAAGAATTGTGCGGACTAGCTTAAATAATTTGAAATGTGGTTGATAATGCGGTTAAAGAATATAGAGTTGAAACTTTAAAAACCCTACAAACATTTGAATGTCGAATGATCTGAAAATAGCAAGTTATCCTGAAAGGAGTTTAATATTAACTGTATTGTGAGAATGCAGTAGTATTATTATTATTGATAGTTGAAAGAACTAAATAAAGGAGTAAGAGTTAATTAAATAGAGAAGTGGAGGAGAAGTCAAAGTTGTTACAAAAATTTGATGAAAATCTACAAATGAGAAGGAGGAAAGGTACAAGATCAAGAAAATAGTGGGATATTTGTAGTCTATATAGACTACAAATATCCCACTTAGTCGGGACTATAACCATCCCAATGGGAATTAGC